TGAAAACGAGGCAGCATGTAAACATAGGATTAGGAGTAAGTAACATTAATAGAACCAGGTTCAAGATACAGATAATTATACATACATACATATATCCGTATATATGTATGCATACACACATACACACACACACACACACACACACACACACACACACACACACATATGTATAAATCAGAAAGAGGTACAGGTACCAGAAGGAAACGGAACTCAAGAATGCTACTGCTGTCACTATTACATGACACATGAAAATCCAGACACATACTGGGCGGTGGTGGTGCACGCCTTTAATCCCAGCACTCAGGAGGCAGAGGCAGGCGGATCTCTGTGAGTTCAAGGCCAGCCTGGTCTACAGAGCAAGTTCCAGGACAGCCAGGGCTACATAGAGAAACCATGTCTTGACAAACAAACAAAAACTAAACAAACAAAGAAAACCCAATAACAAACAAAAAATCCAGACACACACAACTCTAGAATCGGAGGCCTTTGGCATCAAATTAATTGCCCATTCTCTTTATTTTGTGGTAAGCAGCTAGGCCAAGAGAGGAAGTTCCATATCATGGCCACAGAACTAGCTAACTGCACCGTGGAAACCAAACAATTTAAGTTCTTTTTGCTATAAACTGTTCCTGTGGATTTAAAAAAGTGACTTTCTTAAGATGTGTTTTACAAATCATGTTATTCACTTATTTCAAGAATACAAATTTTCCCCTCAGTTTATTTACCAAGCTATGCATCCATCACCATCAATCAGTATTGGCACATGTCTGTCAACCTCATATGATGACTGTGTCACTGACTGTATAATTTTTTTGTCACATGCTTCTTTCCTAGAACCTAGGTGGCTGCCACTAATCTGCTTCCTATCTTTATACATTTGGGTTTTCTGGACATTTTGAATGATTGGAATGTCACAACATGTGGTTCCCTGTGTCTGACTTCTATAGTTAACATGCTTTGAGATTCATCCATGTAGTGTGCATCAGTGATTAATTTCATTTTGGTTTTGATTAGTATTTCTTTGTATCAGATATTCATTTACCAGTTGGTAGATATTCAGGTTGTTTTCACTTTGGGCTATTAGAAATAATATTCTAATAGTGTTCGTATATCATTGTTTATCTCTTGAGTTCAGTAACTCTTTCCCCCAAGTTGGGGCTAACTTTTCCATTAGGTGTAGGCTGGTCTATCCTTTTCCTTCAGGTTTTAGCAGTGGTCTTTCCTCCCAGATAGCAACTCAGGTTGTTATAGATGTTCTAATAAATAACCATAGAAGATTAAATGAGCCATTAAAGAAAAGACTTCTTCATCTAATAACAACATTTCATCCTGTGATGATCTATGACAAACTGTTAGCCAAATACCCTCCTTCTTTATAGAAAATAAATTGTTGGAATTTAAAACGTAACAAAATAACAAAACAACATGTAAGATGAGGTACATTGTATATGATACTAGCTGCCATCAAGTTAATTTGCAACTTTAAAAAAAATCTAGAGAGATGGCTCAATGGTTAAGAGCACTGGCTGTTCTGGAAGACTGATGGTTGATTCCCAGCACCCACAGGGTGGCCCACAACTATAATTCCAATTAGGAGATCTGACACCCTCTTCTGGCCTCCAGGGGTACTGCATGCATGTGTACAAAGACATGCATACAAATACAGCACCCATACACATTAAATTAAATTAAAAATGAAAAACAAAGCCCATGGATTTTCCTCTTAAAGAAGCTTCGTGAATAGATTTAAGTCTGTGTGAGACACAGTGAAGGAAGGCAGTAATTTCTGGTTATTTTTACCTACACAGTGAAGGATGACATTTGTCCTTTGGCGTTCATAGAAGTAATTTCACTGTGGTCCTGAGAAATAAGGCCAGTTATTGGGTATGTCTGAAATAGATAGGATATTGAAGACGTTGTTCCCACGACCTAAAAAAAGGAAAAAAATGATACTGTTAGTTGGATTTAGTGGCATATACCTGTAATCCAAGCATTCCAGAGCTGGAAGAGGAGGATTGAAATTTCAAGGTCTTCTTGGGCTGTGTAGAGATATCAGAAGGGAAGGAGAGATTGAGATTTTTCTATTACCATTCTCTTCTAAATAGCTTGCCCATTTATTGTTCTAGACTTGTCCAGTTTCGCAGTAATTTCACATCTATTCTCCTTTTGACTTCACTTTGAGCTATGGGTGGTTCTGCAGCAACCTGTGAGGTGGACCCCAGTACATGGTAGTCCCAAATCCTTTCCAATCCAGTTCTGATTTGTTGCTATCTCATCATTTTCTCTCTTGTAAACAGAGCCTCATCACAGTGTGCCATTTACTGCCTCTTGAGAACCCCACATCCTTGGTTCCCTCTGTTTCTTCTTCACTGTCCTTTTGTATCTTTGCCCATTTGGAGGATGATTGCACCTGTAGGCAGACGTACACATGACCTCTTCTGTAGTAAATGCTCCCCTTTCCTTTGTCTCGGCAGAGTTCATTATGTTCTTTTTGGTGACTGTGCTAGCTTGGTAATGCAACATAAAGCACGTTACCTGAATGATCTTCAATAGGTGCTAACTTTTCTGAGTTTTTCTTTATCTGGGATGTGTTTTTGTCTTCCAGAGGAATTTTATGAAAATAACACCAAACTATGATCTATGAAATCTTAATTGTTTAGTGTTAAAGGCAGACATATGCAAATGGACACAAGCTTATATGTATGGTCAGTCCTTGACTTTGAGCACAACAATCCTATTTTATTTACCTTTCTATCCTAACCACCTAGCCCATGTCCCAATACATACAAAATTAGGTTGAACCATTGTAAAGCAAGTAGGGAAGATATTCTTGTCATCACTTTTCAGATTTGCAATAAGTAATAAAATAATTACTAAGCAATAAAATAATTGTGTGTGTGTGTGTGTGAGAGAGAGAGAGTGTGTGTGTGTGTGTGAGAGAGAGAGAGAGAGAGAGAGTGTGTGTGTGTGTGTGTGTGTGTGTGAGAGAGAGAGAGAGAGAGAGAGAGAGAGAGAGAGAGAGAGAGAGAGAGAGAGAGAGACTGTGTAACTGTGATAGTACGACTATGTGAGTGTGTGTACATGTAGAGGCCAGAGGTTGATGTCGATGTCTTCCTAAATTACTCTCCACTTTTTGAGGCAGTGTCTTTCACTGAACCGGAAACTCACTGATTTCGCCAGACTGGTTGGCAGCAAACCCAGGGATCCTATTTCACCACCTGCCCGCCCGGGGCTTACAGATGTGTGCTGTGGCACCTGGGTTTTTACATGGTCCCTGTGTTCAGTCCACAAACACTTTACTAACTGAACTGTCTCCCTAGTTCTTAAGAGACATAATAATTTAACCATTGAGTCCTAGCCCTCTTCCTCTGAATTCACCATTAGAACTTTCAAAGACCCATGGAGAGCTCCATGAATTCAGATGGAGCATATCAAAGGTAGGCTTTATCAGAGTGTTGTCTGAGACCTACCTATCACACGCTGACTTCTGAAAATGTTTGTTAAAAATATATAATCAAATCTCACGAATGCAATATTGAAGAAAAAAAAAAACAGACAAGGAAGCCAGACAAATTAATGGAAATCATAGAAGTACCATAAGTGCTAATTTTACAGAAATAACAATTAGTGCTATGAGCAACTGCGTACCACCCATCTGGATAACTTGGACAAATGGAGAAATTCTTATACATACTCAGCCTACCATGACTGAGTCATGAAGACTCAGAAAAATCTGTGAAAGTTCTTTGTCTTTTAATCACTCAGTGAACCAGCCTTTTTTTTTCTAAGAATTTATTTGATTTGTAACTCTGTGTGTGTGTGTGTGTGTGTGTGTGTGTGTGTGTGTATGTGTGTGTGTATGCATGTGTGTGTGTTTATGTGCATATGCCTGCAGTGCCCACAGAGGCCAGAAAGGGATATCAGATCCCCAGAAGCTGGAGTTAAAGGAGACTGCCGCCTGATATGGGTGATGGGAACCAAACTTAGTTCTCTGCAGGAACAGTATGTGCTCTTAACTGCTGAGCCATCCCTCTAGTCCCAAAGTTAAATTTGGACCTAAGTCAGTAACTTAGAAAGGCCCAGGACCACGTGGTTTCACTGGTGAATTCCTTCAAACATTTAAATAAGAATTAATACTGTGGACTGGGGAGTGTGCTCTGAGTGAATGTGCTCTGCTCTGCTCTGCTCTTGTGGAGAATGGAGAACGGATTCACCTGACACACACATCCCAGCACAGCTGCCTGTGACTCTAGCACCATGGGATCCATAGACACATATATGTACATAGTATATTTTTTGCATAAGTGTTAGCCTCAAAAAGGTTCCAAAAATATTAATAGCCAACCTCCAGACCAAACTTCTGAGGGAAGGATCTGGAGACCTTGGCTGAAGAAGACGGCTCTAACAAGTTGTTCTTAAGCATTGGCTTCTGGGAACCTTAAAGGAAGGAGAACATCTGTATTGAATGCCCAAGAATTCCTCAATTCAACCCCTAAGTAAATATCCCTTGGTTAAGAAGTTGTTGATTTGAGTCACTCACCTTCTCCTTTGAGGAAAATTCATGTCCTGTTTTGGGTGCTATTAAAAATAAGAACGCAAGCCGGGCGTTGGTGGCGCACGCCTTTAATCCCAGCACTCGGGAGGCAGAGCCAGGCGGATCTCTGTGAGTTCGAGGCCAGCCTGGGCTACCAAGTGAGTTCTAGGAAAGGCGCAAAGCTACACAGAGAAACCCTGTCTCGAAAAAACCAAAAAAAAAAAAAAAAAAAAAATTGTCTTGCCGGGCGGTGGTGGCGCACGCCTTTAATCCCAGCACTCGGGAGGCAGAGCCAGGCGGATCTCTGTGAGTTCGAGGCCAGCCTGGGCTACCAAGTGAGTTCCAGGAAAAGGCGCAAAGCTACACAGAGAAACCCTGTCTCGAAAAACCAAAAAAAAAAAAAAAAAAAAAAAAAATAAGAACGCAATGCCATAGAAATTTGTAGTTTTATATTTTCTATTTAAAATAGTATTCTAATGTGGACTATCTAAAGACGTGGAAAAATAACTTCATTGAGGCCCGTGAAAATAGGGCTGGTGCTAGGACCCAGCAGAACTCAGCCACTTTGGTTGGAGATGAAACATCTCCTCATGGGTGTGGTGCAGTTTTAAGCAGGTACAGAAAAGCCAGTTCTTCCACATGTGCGCTACTCTGAGGCTATTGCAGTTCTCTCCGAACCATCTCCAGGATTTTAGCCGCTTTCACACCTGCTCGCTAACCCGCAGGCATGTTTCTGGCAAAGGCGATCCTGGAAGGGGCAGATCGGGGTCTGGGGGGGGCTCTCGGAGGCCTTCTTGGAGGAGGTGCTCAGGGAAGAGGAGGCGGAGGCAACATCGGGGGGATCATTGGAGGAATTGTCAATTTTATCAGCGAGGCTGCTGCTGCGCAGTATACCCCCGAGCCGCCTCCCCCGCAGCAGCGGCATTTTACCACTGTGGAGGCCTCGGAAAGTGAGGAAGTCAGGCGGTTTCGGCAGCAGTTTGCACAGCTGGCTGGACCCGACATGGAGGTGGGTGCCAAGGACCTGATGAATATTCTCAACAAAGTCCTTTCCAAGCACAAGGATCTGAAGACCGATGGCTTCAGCCTTGACACCTGCAGGAGCATTGTGTCGGTCATGGACAGTGACACCACGGGGAAGCTGGGCTTTGAGGAGTTTAAGTACCTGTGGAACAACATCAAGAAATGGCAGTGTGTTTTTAAGCAGTATGACAGCGGCCATTCTGGCTCTCTCCGAAGCTCCCAGCTGCGCAGTGCTGTGCAGGCTGCAGGCTTCCAGCTAAATGAGCAGCTCTACCTAATGATTGTCCGTCGGTATGCTGATGAGGATGGCAGTATGGATTTCAACAACTTCATCTGCTGCCTGGTCCGTCTGGATGCCATGTTTCGCGCTTTCAAGTCTCTGGATCGCGATGCGGACGGCCTGATTCAGGTGTCCATCCGAGAATGGCTGCAGCTGACCATGTATTCCTGAAGTGGATAGAGAGAGACAGAGACCCTCCGTGGAGGACAGGACTGCAGAAAGCCTTGCTGTGTGAGCCAAAGCTCATATTGCACCCAACAGCTACCATTTCTGGGGGTTGGGGAGGGGAGGCGCTCTTTTATAATGCTGCATATTCCTGATCGTCTACACTATAGTGCTTAATTAAAACTAATTTTGGACAAAAAGTGTTCTGAGTGGTTTGTATATTGGGTTTTTTTTTTTGAGAGGTGATATGTAGAGACATGTACATGTGATGAGGAGGTACTGTTGACTTATTGGTTATTACTTATTGGTGAATGGATTAACATTGTTTATGATCATGGACTAAATCAAGAAAGCATCAGGAGGTAGGATTTTTTTTCCCCCTTTGAAAAGCTGAGAGGGAAAGATTAAAGACTGTCCTACGCATAATTTCACATCTGGTCTTTATATTATAAAGAAGTGTACTTTCCAGAGAACTTACTTTATTGTATAGCGATAGGTTCAAAAATGTAAGATTAAGCAATTTTATTCAGGGGTATCATTTTATAAAAGATATTGAGCACCTACCTAGAAGTCTAGAGTCCTTTGGCTGTTTTCTAGTAAGACCAACAGAGCAGCTTTCTGTTAGTGTTTGTAAAGAGTCGAGGGTCTTGAGGAGTAAAAAGGTATTCCGGTTGCTCAAAACGTCTTTAGCCATCTTAATGAATCAAAATGATCACCCTTATGTTTACTTCATACAAAATCAGGCGCACCCAGGTGATGGTAGCCAGCTCTTGTCCCGTCTTGCCCTACCTTAGAGCAAGGAAAATTCTTTCGCTTATCTTTGGAAACGACAGGCAGGGAGAAAAAAAAAAAAAGGAATAGGAAAAACACATAATTAGCAGTCAGTGAAGTGGAATGTGGAGCAGCGTAGACAGCAAATGTTGCCGACTTTTATTGCGGTGGTTGGAGGTCCTGGCTGCAGTTTAGCCTTGCAGGGGGAGTCCTTTAGCAACGAGTGACTGACTCCTCCTCCAGATGAAGTGAGTCTCTTCTAAACCCTCTTCTTTAAGCTCCTCAGGTCATGCTAATGCCAGGCTGACAGTCCTAAGCGCTTTAGATCATGCCTGTCTCCCCGTGTTTTTCAAATCTGTCTCAGCCAGAACTGCCAAGCAGGTGAGTCAGTGCCACCTCCATTCAAGAAAAAGAAGACAGGAATAGTGAGAACCTGCCACCCTACTGCTGAGTTAACCAGCCTTTCTGGTGTATAACTCTTAACCTGGCTTTATTGTTTTGGTACGAGCTGTTTGTTACAACTAAGCCAGCCAAACCCAGGACCCTCGCGAGGCTTGGTTGCAAGTCTTTGTTCACCCACACCCCAGTCTTCAGTGTTTTCCACTCTCTGCTGGGTTTGGTGCATTCTTTCCATCCTGGGCTGCTTTGGAGAGTCCTTCTGAGATCAAAACTAATTTAGAAGAAAGTTGTAACTATGGAAACGGTGTTGCTGGCCCCTTAGGAGGTCTGGAGCTCCCTTCAGAAAGCCCCAGTGATGTTGGGAGAGGTTGGCATTGAGCCTCTGTGTGCACCATCACCACCATCATATAGTATTTAGGAACTACCACACACATAATTCTGAGCCAAGCACAGAGATCACATCTACTTTCTTAAAGGAACTTGTAATTTAACTTGGTCTGATAGTCTGCTTAGACCAGCTGTGGGTATATAAGCACGAGGCTGCTGCCAGCAACCACATACTCATACCAGCCTCACTATTGTAGAATAAATCCAGGAATACATCAGACACGGGAGCAGGAGAGTAGCCAGGAAAGAGAAAACTGCCAAGATGTCTATCGGGACTCTCAGAATATGTTTCTAATTTGATTTCCACATTGTGGTTGTGGAAAGGACAATGAAGAGCTTGTATTTTTCCCTCCAAATTTCATCATAAATGTTTTATGCAAGTTAAGGCTGTCATCGCTACTAGAAGTGGCATTAAGTATTTCCCTCATTCCTCCAGCTAAGAGAATACCTATTTCATGATTCTCCTCCAACGTGTGCATGAAAAACATCCAGAAGCCACCTAAGTTTCTCTTCTGTTGTTTTCTACATTCATATAAAATTTATCTAAATTACCTCAGTCACCATTGTAGATACTAGAAGATTTAGTCCAAACTCAAGATTGTCCTAAGTAGGAAAGTCTTAGGCTATTGTATAGGACAACAGTTCAAACAGTGACTGAGTTTCTAAGTTTTCATTCAATATTTATTATTTAAAACTTCATTTTCAAGGTTAGAGAACATATTAGTTTGCAACTTCAAAAAATGTACTGTGTTCCTGGGCATGGAGTCACATGTCTATGATCATCACACTTGGGACAAAGGCCTGGGGGTCAGGAGTTCAAGTCAAGCCTTGACTATGTAGTTAGTGAGCTTGAGACCAGCCTTGGTTACATAAGACCCTCTCTCAATCTCTATAGCCCCCATGCAAAAATTATCCATTTCTATATGGAAAAGTACTTATAGCCTATGACGAAGGCTTTTGATTCATCCACTCTACTGTCAGTGAATGTCTAACATTAAAGAATACAGTCCAGGCGGTAAACTGAGAATGAGAAAGAGAAGAATATATGAAATAGTGCTATCTGTAGATTTACATTTCAAAAAACTGCATATAACTTTGAAAATACCTTTATCTTAATTGTATCCACTAAGTTCTATAACCTATAAAAGCACAGAAAGGAAACATGTACTGTTTATCTGAAAGCAAGAAACTTCTAGAAAACATCCACAATGTGTATGTCATCTTGAAGGTCACTTTAGGAATATGTTTTAGTTTTAAAGCTTTATCTTCAGAGCAACCCTGTTCCTGAATGTGAATTGATCTTGAAGAATGTCAGAATTACCATTTGAAAGTGCTCACAAAATGCTAAGTATATTAAAATAGTTTAATTACAGTAAAAATTGGTAGTATTCTAATATATGTGGTAGAAATATACTCTCAGTTGGAATACCCACATAATTGGGATACCTTTCCTTGCCTGTTTTGATTACTGAGACAAACAATAATAGTGTTCCTCAGGGTACAATGTGTCTTCACAGATGGAGACTTATATTTTATGGCAATGTTTTGAATGTTACTCTGAGAATATTGGTTATCTCTCATTCCCAAAGATGATATCAATTATAACACAACAAAAAGAAAAAGAAAAATCATCCTTGGGAACTAACCCTTGTAAAATGTATTCAAAATCGTATCCTTAAATCTTATAAAATCTTGTAGAAGACTCAAAACCTTATAAAATATCTGATTCTGATTGACAAAATACATTAAGTTCTGAAACAGCCTCAAAGAACTGATGCCTGAGAATCAGGCCATTTATTTTTCCTGAGATTTTTTGAAATTTATTTTTATGTGTATGGATGTTCTGCTGTATGACTATGCACCATTTGTGTGCAGTACCTGCAGAGGCCAGAAGAGGGCATCAGATCCCCTTAGACCGGAGTTATGGATGGTTGTTAGCTGCCACATGGGTGCTGGAAATTGAAACTGGGTCCTCTGGAAGAGCAGCCAGTGCTCTTAACTACAGAGTAGTCTCTCTAGGCCCACTCCTGAGATTTTAAACAGCTAATACAAGGACAAGTCACCTAGGTTTCCCATTGCTCCTAGAAGCCAAGGCAGGAGGTGAAAGGTGCTGGTTGCAGGACTCACTATACGTCCTTCCACACTTTTTTCTGACCCTGCTGACCTCCAGGAAAGGGATGAAGTCCACAGCTGGAGCTCACTGAAGCTTGGCCATGCTTCTTTTTGCAGTGACTTGGTGTAACTCCTCAGTGCCAACTCTGGACTATTCCTCAGCTCTGCCTTGGCAAAGGATGTGGAGAAATGACTAGGACTTTCCATTGAAAGGTTTATTTCTTCATTTAAATGTAGCTATGAAAAAAATTTAAGACCAGGTGCTATTATTAAGTTTATAATTCTTCCTAGGGAAGTTTTAAGGAAACTACCATAGATTTATGGAACAATATTTTTAAAATCACAGAACTGATTCAAAAATATGAAAATTAAAAAGAATGTATGTTGTTATATAACTCTTTGTACATTTAAAAATATACTTCATCAAACTGTTAGATGTGAATGATTGATAGTCAAACTACTTAAATTTAATTGCAGTTATAGAAATGGTGAGTTTTATTAACTTGAAATGAAATGCATGTCTTGGTTTCATTAGTGGTTTCTACAGTTTCTTCCAGTTCTAAATTTTATTATACTGATTTAGAAGCCTCAGTAGTATGTTATTAATCCAATAAAGTAATCTCTGCAAGTAATTTCTATATTGATTTTTCCTCCTTTACATTACTAGAAAGAAAAATTACATAGTCTTTCTCATGTGAGTCAAGGGTCTGCCATTATGTAATCATATCAATAAAAAACATGTCCATTGAAGAACGCTTAGCCATCATATACTAATGTAAATTTGGGCACTAACACTTTGCCCTGTTTCTCGTGGTAATAGGAAGGGTCTGTTGCATTTTCATTTCTGCAAAAAGAGTTGGGGTGCTTGACTTGTGTTCCACACAGGGTTGATGGTGTAGTGAGGACTGCTCATTCACGACTCCTGTATTGCTCAGGGAAAGTCAACTGCATAGGAAGCTTACCAATGTAAAGCAAATTTGCTATAATTCAGTAAGCTTATCGGTATCTAAGGCTCATGAAAAACCACTGTGTTCAGTATGTAAAGAATTAAATTGTGATGGTACAGGAAGCATATTGTGCTCCTTCAGATGCTTCCATGGTGGTGACATACAGATGTTCACTGTGGCAGTGACTACCTACCTGGTGTATGTGATTTCAGTCAGACACTTCAAGTAGGTGCATCCAGCTGGATATAACTTTTACAGCAGTAAAGTTGATTTTTAAAAAATAGTTATCCTCGAGATGCTTTCTAGGCAAATAGAGAAGTTGAATGACTTTAGGTTTTGTCTTAGAATAAACCCTAATACTTGGGGGAAATCTTAAAATCTCTGTTTCTGCTTTTCTGGTGGAAACATGAAATTAAATTATTCCTTTTAATTTCCGCCCTGCAGTATGATAAAGTAATATGAAGAAAGTGATTTGACTTTTTGAGGTTTGGCTATTGAGAGGCTGGTGAAAACCTCCCTAGAAAATGTGCTTACAGAGAGCCACCCTCCAGGTCAGAGGCTTTTGTGGACACCCCCTTTCTCAAGTGCACCTGCTGGTTGTGTGAAGGTGATGATCCGTGCATGATGATGCCACGTGTCCTTTGTGAACCTGTGAGATGAAGTATTGCCCCGGTCTTATCCCTGGTGCACGGTTTGTCAGGAGTTTCCTCCCTTGAGCGTTGTGTTGCCGAAACGACTCTCCCATCTGGGGTTCTCTCATAGTCCTGGTCACCTCCCCCTCCTCCGTCTTCCTGTTTCACTCTCCATCTCATTTCCCCGTTTCCTCTTGTGTCTGTTCTCTGTTTCTTGTCCCTTGTGTTCTGACCTACCTCCTCTCTTCCTTTTTCTTCTCTATTCGAGACAGGGTTTCATCTTGTAGCCCTGGATGTTCTAGAACTCACTCTGTAGAACACGCTGGCCTCAAACTCAGAGATCCACCTGCCTCTGCCTCCTTAGTGCTGGGATTAAAGGTGGGCACCACCAAGCCTCGTTCTTTTTTTCCTCTTTATCGTAAACTCTCATTCTCTTGGTAGTTAAGTTATGTGCCAGCCTGCGTGGGATCACTCATCCTTTGTTCTCTGTTGTCCTGACACCCCTCCTGAACTGTATCATGCTTGTTGTGTTTGGTTTTCACTGACGCCAAAGTACAGGCACTTCTGGGACCACAGATCCCCAAGGGGTTGTTGGGTCTGCCACATCAGCTCCAAATTAAGCCCAAAAACTAAAGAATGCAGCTTGATTAATGCCTCAGTCTCTCTTTTTTCCTTCACTGGTGCTGGCCATCTTGGCAGGACCATTTTCACTGTGGACCCAAAGCTTCATTTCCACTAAGGATTAGAATCCTAGTCCCTGTCTCCCTGAAGGGTCCTCATCAAAGAAAGCAATTCCAAACTTAGGCACCACAGTGAGTGTCGGTGGGTCGCGTTCCATGGCCTCGGGGGTAAGCATTTATAGTTATTATTGGATATAGCATGCTCTGCCTCCTGAACTGGCAATGGGTAGCCCTCCCCTTGCTGTCGTTCTCGTCGGGAAGCTTCTCTCCACAGTGTCCCCGTGTGTGATTCTGCAGTGCGACTCGGCGGGCTTGTGCTTCACCTGGTGTGACTAACGTTAATCCAATAACTGCCTTCCTAACTGATGGCTGTCTTTCCACAGAATAATGATGGCAGTATTGACTTCCGAGAGTATGTGATCGGCCTGGCTGTCTTGTGCAACCCTGCCAACACAGAGGAGATCATCCAGGTGGCCTTTAAGGTACTGCCAACCCCACTGACCGCATCTCAGTTGGACTTGTAAATATGTGTTGACTCTAACTCCATTATTTGAAAAGTCGGTGAATCTGTTCCCTGAGTTTATAGATCTGCTGTGACATGTTCAGGAGGATAATGTGATTAAGTCAATTGCTACTGAGAATAAAGAAAACACAGGCATCCATTTAAACAACAGTGGATGCAGTCTAGGTATGAGCATCAAGACTGAAGAGCAGGTGATTTGGCAAATTAATGTTATTTCTTTTCAGCCCTCTTTTGAAGTCCTGAAGTAAGATTTATAAATAAATACCACTCCTTGCCCCTCATCCTAATTCATCTAGAAAGTTCTGATCTGTCCTTCCTTTTGCATCTGTTAGATCATTTAAGTGGCGCTTTGGTGCTGGAGTTTATTTTGTGTGGTGATGTCAGGCCAACATCATCATAAATGTCCCCTGTTTCTACCCTGCTGATCTTACTGTAATATCCAACATATTTTCAGCGTAGTGCAGAGATCTAAATTAGGAGAAAAAAATCTTTCTTATCCCCAGCAAAGCTTGAGAAAACCGTGTGTTGTGAAGATCTGGACTGCATTGGCCGCTCACACATGCTATACACTAAAGCGCATGTCCTGAGAGCGGAGATGCTTCATCTGTAGTCTTTCATCGCTGTGTGTCCTGAGTTCTGAGTTCATGGGGCATCTCTCAGCTGAAGCAGTGCTCCTCATCTCCCCACTGGCCTTGCCAAGCAGGCTTCATTGACTTGTACAGCAACAGCCTCAGCTTCTGTGTAGCATGAAAGCCAGTGACCGTCTCTCCCATCTGCTCCTCTTCTCTCTCCCTGGCTTTCTCTGAGACCGAGATCCCACTGTGGTTCCAACCAGCCTTTCCCCTTCTCTATTATCTACAAACTTCTCTGGCCAAGATTCCTTTTTTTGTGTTTTAGAGGCCACAAGGGCTGGTGTTCTCCCATTGTTGGAAGTACCCCAGGGCACCTTCTATTGCAGATTACTTTAAACTGAGCGAACTGGGTGTAAAGAAACCCAGTGACTGATGTGCAGCAGATGGGCATGATGCAGGGGCCAGACTCTTTTCCAAAATTCCAAACCTTCAGCTTTTAGACTTACTCATCAAAAAACCTACAATGACGCAGGGAGCTAACTCACCCCAATCCAGACATCTCTGTTTCTGTTTTGGGGTTGTATGTGTAATTACACGTTTAGCTGAGCAAATAGTCACTCTTGGTTTGCCAATGAAAGACCCAATAGAAAAGTTAGCCCTCAATCACAGTAATTACTGTTTTTAAAGAAACCATGAAAATCTTGACCAGCCTAGACCTTGGTTTGAAGATGGAAGAAAGGAAGACTTACATCTATAATTAGCTCATTTTTCTCTATGGCAAGGGTCATGATTTACATTGGTTTTTATTTACCTATTTCTTTATGTATTTACTTATCTACTTTTTTTTTTTTTTCTGAGACAAGATGTCACTCTATAGCCCAGGCTGGCTCAAACTTGAAGTACTTCTATCACAGCCCCTTGAGTGTTAGGGTGACTGGTACAGGCCACCATGCCTAGCTCACACTGGTTATCTAGAGCTGCCTTTTTAGTATGTTTTACGTTGTGGGAATATTTTTATATGTTTTTTGTTTTCAGTTAGTTATTTGCTTTCATAGTATACAGAATCCTGTCACATCCTTTTCTGTGGTAAGCACATTATAGCTAACTTCCTGTCTTTGATTTCCTCTTTACATTGAGCTCTAGGTAGAATAGCAGAGGTGCCACTGAGCCCTGGCAGTTACTGTTTGAAGTCTAAGATATATAAGGAACCTGCAGTCTACAATTTATGACAACCTGTCAGTTCTTCTCTTTCCAGTCACCTTCACCCCCAGTTAAAAGCTCAACAGCAGGGAATTGGCCAGAAGCCTGTTTTCCCTTCTTGGGGTAACAAATCCCAACTTGGAGCTATGCATTTTTTTCTCTCACTCAGTGTTAAATATTCACTTACATTTCTTTCCATGATTATCAGACCTTACTAATGCCACTTTTTCCATGTCTTTGATCCAATGTTTGGTCTGAAATAGAGATTTCAAGTACCAGGGCCTTTTAGTCCTGACCTCCAGCATTTGTTAGCTCTGCCGTTTACATGTAGGTTGTATGTCCTGGGACAGAACTACCTACCTTCATTGGGCCTCCGCTGCTGCGTGTCTAAGAGGGCTGCAGTGGCACCTGTTGGCAAAGTATATTGAGAACATTAAGGATTCGTACATGTAAAGGGAACTGGATACCTTGATCAGTGCCTGTAAAGAAGTTCTAATGAAAAATTCTTAATACCCGGGCAGGATTTTGATTATCCGTTGTCCATCGTTTACTCCTTTTCCGCTGCGTGTCTTTTCACCTCCTTAGGCCACTGCTTTTCTTTCCACCTCTAAGTACAATCACCTTTCATGCCTGCTGTTAGCTGCCCGTCTCCTGCCCTCTCTTCTGGAACTTCTTAGAAATGCCCATGCCAGTCGTCACTGCGAATCACGGGCTTGTTCCTTGATTCGCATTGCCACCTCCCTTTTGGTCCTGTGAAACTGGAAGCTTCTCATCCCCTAGTTACCAAATCTAGCAAATACTTAGTTCTCCTTGCTCTTCCATGTAGTCCGGTGCCTGTTACCACCGTCAAGTCTCGTTCTGTTAAAACCCCGTTAGCTTCAGAAGACACACAGTCGTCTGCTTCTAAGTCTCAGTTCCTCTTCTGTCTGCATGTCTCAATGGTCCCAGGGCTGTGCCTTTTCTCTGTACTCCATACCTTCTCTACAGACAAGCCGCAACCCCCGTGGTTTCAGGTCTTCCCCACATTTCTACCTGGAACCTCACTCTCTTGAGCTCATACCTGATTCTTTCTTTTTTCCTCCCTTCCTTCCTTCCTCCCTTCCTCCCTCCCTCCCTCCCCCCCGCTTCCTTCCGGTACCTCTAACTCAAATTTAACTTTTCTAGGTCCAGCTCTAATCTCACTTGGCAGTAGTTCTCATGACGGTTTCTCCTCAGCTACCCAGCTAGAAAACTCCAGTTGTTTGGCTCCTTCCCATCACTACAAACCTTTTCTGCACCCCATCTGTGCTGCTTGTACAGCCTGCCCTTCCTGTCCTGCTTGTCCACCCTAGACTCGCTTGGTTTTCTTGCTTGAAAAAGACTCTTGCCCCCATCCTGTCCTACACACTGCTTCAGAGGCCTCCTTCAGAATACATGTGATCACACCACTTCTGCTTGCAAGTATTAGGTGGGGCCATGTGCGTCCACCATGATCTGGTTCTGGCTTCTCCATCAGTCTCTGGACTTAAGTCCCAGGGGCTCACCTACCATTCCTTTTATCTTCTGGGAACATCTCTTTGCATCATGAGAGCCAACTGTAATGACAGCCTTTGTGGACCTCTCGGGTAAGATTCATCATGTCCCTCCAGGGCTCCCATGTCTTTTACTATGCACTATTGGCACAGCCCCTATTCTAATTCTGTCTCTTTCCGTGACCAAACTACTGTCGGTTTTTAAGTCTTCTAAGAGTAGCAGAGACCATTCTCTCCCTGCCCCTCTCACATGCATATACATTATGTATGTATCCGTAACTATACATGTAACTATTTCCATTATTAAAGACTTTACTTTCCAGTGCTGTTCAATGCAGTAGGCTTCAGGGCCCTACCTCTGTGTGTTGTTTCCCTTGCAGCTCTTTGATGTTGACGAGGATGGCTACATAACAGAAGAGGAGTTTTGCACCATTCTGCAGGCTTCTCTTGGAGTGCCCGACCTTGAAGTTTCTGGTCTCTTCAGGGAAATTGCCCAGGGGGACTCTGTTTCCTACGGTGAGTAAGCAATCCCCAAATCACCATTCATTTATGAGAAGAGCATCCAGGCTATTAATTGAGAGTCAGATGAGTGTGTTTCCCTTGGCTAACTATTGGTAATAGCAATGATGATGACTGTAATATTGTTATGATGGTGATAGTAATAGCTAATTATTGAAAACTTACATACCAGCTACTCTTTTATGCTTTGTGTATATAAACTTGTTTAATCAGTATCCTCCTTTTTTCACATCTGTGTTTGGCAAAGAACAAAGTAACTTTCTGAAGACTGTCCACCTGAAGATGGTCAGAGCCAGGATTCAAAGAGTCTGGCAGTAGAGCCTGGACCATTGACTACACCTCAGTGCCTTTCATATCTGCTGTGAGTGTGACCAGGCTGCCCTGAGTAAGCCAGTCAAGCTGGTCTGTAATTGCATCGGAGGAGTGTGGACCAAGGCACTGACAGTAGTAGTAGCTCAATCTTTACTGAGATTTCATGTAGTAGTTAATGTAAACGAGGGCAGCCTTTGTCTTTGGCATCCTAGAGCAACCCCATGAGGGAGTGACCATGACAGAAGAAGACCTGTGGTACTGTGTATAGACACAGAGCCATGCATTGGCTTCTCCTTCCTCCTGATGGTTCAAGACCCTACATCAAAACAATGGTGCTGAATCACTTTCCCTGTATTTCCCAGTGTAGTCTTTGAAAAACATACCTCTGTGCAGAGGTCTAGGTGTTGTTTCCTGCTTAGCTTTGATGTGGTCCTGGATGCCAGGCTGGCTTATCTTCCCCAAACTTGCCCCTCTGGCTTGAGAGACACGAATTACCTAATTACATTGCTCTGAAGGTGTTCACAGAGGTTCAGCTTATTAATGCTCATGGGATGGGGAAATCAGGTCACATACTTCTCTTACTCTGTTTAGTTACTGGAATTTTGTCTGCCCCATATTCTCTTTTAGATCATTACATGCAAAGGGCCATGAATCTTTTGAGTTCATTAAAAAAGAATCTTCAAAAACTTGTGTTAACTAATTTTTCTTTGGCTATTTGCTTCCATAACACTCTCTA